ACTGGGGTGAGATGATATCTCATTGTTGTTTTGATTTGCATCTCTTAGAGCTAGGGATTGTGAATGTTTCTTCATGTATGTGTTTGCCATCTGATTATCTTCTTTGGTGAAGTGTCAGGGAGCTCTGGTGTCTTAGTGGTAAAGAGTTATGGTATTCAAAGGCAGGCGGTTCAAATCCACTGAGGAGGGAGAAGGATGGACAGTGTCCTCCTGTGCGATTTACAGCTTCTGAAAACCCGCTGGAAGGTCACCTATGAGCTGTTTCTAACTCAATGGCATATAACAACAACAACATTCTCAAAAAGAGACTATAATTTACAGTCTCTGAAAACATATTGAAGGGCCAACCATGATCAGTTCTTACTATATAACAATGGGTGAGAGAGTCTCAATTTAATGGTTATATGTCCTTAATGGAACTTATATCAGAAAGATGTAAACAACCCCTTTTATTATGATTGCTGGAAATTTCTGTTTTCTATAGATTAAGGAAATAGTCACTGGAAGAGATTGCTTCTGATATGTGTCTTGGACTTCGTAATTTAAGTTTCCACAGATACTGATTTTTGAAACTCAAAGACATACTCAGTGTTAACTAAAGATTTTCTTCCTTTTTTTCTATGAAATAGGATCATGGTTATAATTGAGGTTAAATGCTAGTCATGTTCTACAGATACCTTGTAGAAATAAAAGACTTACACAATGTTAGCTGCCAATTAATAAGTATCCAGAATGAACAGAACGTTCATTGATAATTGCATTTTCTCTCCTTGAATTCCTACAATTCAGTGATGTTATATATTACTGTTTCCTTTACGCTTGTGAAGTAACTGAAGCCTAGGAAAGCTTTCCTGGCCAACAGGGTAAGGAGCTGTGCTGCCAACCCAAAGGCTCGCATTTGAATCCGTCATCCGCTCCAAGGGAGAAAAATGGACAGTCTCTTTTGGTGTCGTTTACTGCCTGTGAAAATCCTCTGGAGGGCCAGCTATGATTTGGTTCTGACTTGATGGCACATAACAACATGTAACATGCCTACAGTCATATTTAACAAAGAATTCAGTATTGAAACCTGGTTCTGTCTGGTTTTACATTCTATGCTTATTTTACTATATTTGCATCCCCATTACTAACAAATTGGAATCGACTAATAGCTGACCCTTCAGTGAGTTTTCAGAAGCTGTAAATTGCACAGGAGGAGATTGCCTATCTTTCTCCTACAGAGAGGCCAGTGGATTACAGTAAGAGTTAGGATTTTTTTCCCCTGTGTTCTGTTATTCCTCAGATGTTTTATTTTGTCTATAATCTTAACTGGCTTCTTTGCTTCTAAAAACTTTAAACTCGTCAATGCAGGCAACTGTAGTTATTTATAACATAAAAGGATTTTTTATATTAAAATCTTTGGGAAGCATATTTCTGAGCATATTCTGTGTTGACCAAAATGCCCTTCTTTCTATCTTAAATATTTTGGTTTTAAGTCAGACAATACAGTAAAACCTATGAGAGCTGGAAGTAAGTGAGCCTGTATTGTTTTTCCTGGTTTCACGAGTTTTCTGCCTTTGACAGAGTGCCACCATAGCACTTTGCTATCACTACTAGTGAAAAATAAAATCCCTTCTTTGACAAGTGCCTACTGTACACGAGCCACAGCTTTTCAGGGATTTTACTGTAGTGCCTTGCAAAAATATTATACATTCTTGTGGTCTTCTCCTACGTGTGAGAAAATAGGTAGCTGGGTGCAAAAGTACTATCTTAGTTTGGGTTTTTTTCCCTTTAATTTAACCTTCGCTAACATTGAGAAATCTTTAATTAAGCTGAACCTATCAGGGGGGAGGGGGGAGGGGTTTGTGCGGGGAGAAGGGTGCAACAATGAATGAATGGAATCCAAAAAAAAAAAAAGCTGAACCTATCAATATTTACTTTTCAAAAAACCACAAACTTCAGTGGGTTGCCAAGAATCTTTTGCTATTTTTCACCCTTTGAAATTTTGAAACTTTTCTTAAATATAGAAAGTGTAATTAAATATATCCAGCAATTTATTGGTGAATAGAGTATACATTAGACTTACAGACACATTGTAACTTAGGTCACATCACCTTCTCATGTTGTTCTTTGCTGTCAAGTTTGGGTCACATTGTATATAAACACACAGACACACCAAATCCACTGCCCTCCATTCCAGCTCATTCCAGCCCTCCATTCCATTCTGGCAGTGCTCCAGCGGGGTCTCCAAGACTTTTCATTTTTCTCCCACAGAACAACTAAAGGATTCAAACTAACTTTTTGACTAGCCATCCAACTTGTAACCTAACGTACCAGGCCTCCTTAACCTTATGTGTATTTCTGTTTTGTACCATAAAGTTGGAACTGAGTTATAACTGGCCCTTCAGCAGGTTTTTAGAGGCAGTAAATTGCAAGAAAGAAGATTGCCCCTCTTTTCCCCCCCCAGAGCAGCTGGTGGATTCGAACTGCATGCCTTTTGGTTGGCAGCACAGCTCTACCACTAAGCCTACATATAGCAGAATAAAATGTTACCTGGTCCTTCCACAGCTTCATGATCGTTCCTATAAAGTCCTTCAAAGACTTTAGTAACTGCTTTGGTTATCTCTGCTGTTGTTCAGGGTGTATTCATGTTACAGTGGTTTCTGTGTCATGCTATTCTGAGAAACTGTTGCTAAAAATTGATATGTACCAAATTTCTGCTAAATCTATACTTAAAATTGGTTTTGTTTTTGTTTTTTCATGTATAAATTATATATTATACAAGTACTACTTTTTTTTCCCCTGCCAATAAAAGCTGCTTGATTTTCTTGCAGGGCAGTTAGGAAAAAGCAGGGTGAGGGAGAGTTAGAGTCTCTGCAAGAACTCACATCACTGAACAGGTGTGCCAGGTCCCAGTCCTGTCTGGAAATCAGGAAAGATCAGCCAGCTTGCCCTCTTTGGTCCATCCTGCAGGCCAGGACCCATGCCCATTACTTGGGACCGTTGTAGGACACAGTTTTTCCTTTTTTTTTTTTTTCAAAGTCTCCAGCAGAGCATCCACACTGTACTCAGAGTCGATGCAAACTGTCTTGTTGGGCAGGTCAATTTCAATCTGAACTGCTCCCAGTTTGTTGAGTTCACAAGTGACAGCATTAGAGCAGCCCTCACAGGTCATGTCTGCAGAGAACTCGTGCTTAGGCATGGCTGATGGCGGTAGCTCCCCTCTGGCCACAGGTACTACTTTTCCTAAAAGAATTGTTGAGGATTTAAATTTGCTGTTTAGCCACTTCATTTACCACGAGTCCATGAAAATATTGTGCAAAGTATTGTACATGTGTGCATCTGCCCAGTTTCTTGGAAATTTAACTGTAGTCTTCAGTCCCTGCTCGAAGTATTCTAAGAAGACATTTTTTTTAGTGAAGATTTCTGAGTTTCTTCCATCCCAAGTACTTGTAAAGTGCAGATGCACCACTCTTCTGATCTGTCATCCAATGTTGACAATAGAGTACTTTCTTTTCATATACTAATGTATATTAAAATGGGTCAACACAGAACCATGATAACATGTAACACGAATATAATCTCCAGTCATTTTGTTCCCACACAAGAATCTCCACTTCAGGTTTTAAAAACAGGTAATGAAATGGCCTGAAAATATGATATAGTGATTTGTAAAACGTAGGTTTTATAAGTTTCACTGTTTTTGTTATTTTCTATTTGATGGGCTGGTGGTGGGAGAGGGTGGTTTATTCAATAAGGTGGACCTGGTTTTTGCACATTCTCAGTAGAAAAAAGAAAACTATTTCCCTTTTTTTTTTCTTTTTCTTTCCCATAGACTTCAACTGAAACCTCAAAAAGAAAATTACCTGCGTGGTTTGCCAAGGGAAATGAAGCAGCTAATACCAACAAGAAAGCAATTGTAAAAACAAAAAAGAAGGGTCTTTTTAGTTAAGTTGGAAATTCCTAGAGGAATTATGTGTATATTGCTGTATTATAAAAGAACTATATTTCACTTCTGAAAAGAGGAGTTAACATTTCTGTTTCAAAACCATACCAGTCCCAAAGTAGAAGTTACTTGTAGGGACTGGCATCTTAAGCAGTATTTGGGTCCTCTGAAAGTCTGAGTAAAGTACATCATAGGCTAAAATACTAAATTAGGTTTTAAGATTACATTAATTAACCTTATTATTGTCCTGTTTTCTATATGTAATGTGCCATGATTTAACAGCAGAATATTAGTTGTGTGGTATTCGTGTGATATATTTCCATTTTTTTTCTAAATTCTATTTTATAAATGAAGACAACATATTCTGTTAATTATGTTTGCTCTGTTTAGGAGAAGCTCATATGTACATTGTTAAATGGTACTAGTTGAACAGACTGATAAAAATTAAATAGGACATTTTATATTTCATGTATATAGGGAAAATTATTGCAACAAAGGGTATGGGTACCAGTTATACTACACAACTATGCACTTTGTATTTTATACTATTTCTATTGTTCTTCAGATAATAAAAATCATTTTTTTCATATGGATATATATATAATTCTAATTATTAATTATTTGGGGGACATCATGCTTTTATTCTAATATTGCTTCCTATAGTTAATATGACCTCAATATTTAAAACCCATACATTAAACCGTTTACCTTACAATTTATATCTACACTTTGATTGGCTTTTTAAAATTAATAACAACTGATTTGATTAAGAAATTATATGTTTAATGCATGAAAATTAGAAAATCCAGAAAAATCACACTTTTTTTTACTGCTTGGTAATCACAGTTAATCCATATTAATGTATCTTCCAAAACTTTATATATTCATTTCTTTCTAAGTTTATTATGAGCATGAGTAATATGTGAATTAATTTTTACTGTTAAATATTCAAGTACACTTAAAACATAAAAGAAAACACTAACACCAGTTGCTTTTGAGAGGAATTTGACTAATGGTGACCACATGTGTGTGAAAATAGGACAGTGCTCCAAAGGATTTGCAAAGAATGGTTTTTCAGAAGTACATTTCCAAAGCTTTTTTCAGGGCACTTTTGAGTGGATGTCTACCTCCACCTTTTTGTTTAATAGACAAATGCATTAGCCATTTGCACCACTTAAGTCCCACTTGCTCCCACTTCCTCCTTCCCATTACTAACCTGTTTTCACTTGTTCTCATTTTCCTCCATCCCATTACCAACCTGTTTCCAAAAAAGTAGCCTCTCTTACTATTGCCTTCTTTTAAATATGTGTTTGAAGATAAAAAAACGCCATCTTGCAGACTGTATCCTCAATCAAAGCAAAATCTTCACAACTGGGCAAGTAAGTAACATCCATCATGGTAAACAGAAAGGATTAAAGTTATCAATAATTTGGTTTTATTTGGATCCATACTCGGTGTCCACGAAGCAGCAATCAAGAGATCAAATGGCATTTAGTATTGGGTAAATCTGTTGCAAAAGATCTCTCTTTTTTTTTTTTTTGGAAGAGATTTCTCTGTTTAATATGTCACAGTTTTCAAAGCTCGTTCATCCATGCCATCTCATTGATGTTTTGTTTGTTTTTTTTTTTAAATTGAGGTTGTTTATTTTTCATTTCAATGAACATCTACAGAGATTTTGGGATTCCATTCATTC